GCACGTCTCCAGGCCGGTGGGTAAGGAGGGGCGCGGGGCTGCGGGATGCGGATGGCCGGGCCTCAGAGACTCGGCTTTCAAGTCGGGGACTAGAGCGGAGGGGGTTGCCCACCTGGCTTCTCAGAACCAGACCAGGACCCCATCCCCCGCGCCAAGCTGACCCAGGAGGGGGAAAGGGCCTCCCAGTAGGAGGAAGAAAGTCCCAGGCTCTGCAGCGGGCTGGGGAGATGGTGAGCAGGTACCCAGGCCGCAAGAATGGGGTGGGTGTGGAGGGTGTGGTGATGGGGGCAGGTTCCCTCCCCGTGATCCCCCTCCCTCACTCCCTCCCTCTGCTCATCCATCTCTAGAAGATTATATTTAAATATCTCTTTTGTGCAAGGCAGGAGCTGGGCTCGCCCCTAAGAGGCGGTTTCCATGGCAACAACAATTGCCAGCTTCCGTGTGGTGAATCAGTGTTGCCATGGCAACCTCATCCTCATCTGCCCAAGGTGCTGGGAGTGGGGGGAGGAGGTGAGGGCCAGCGGAGGCGGGTGGGAGGGGTGGGGGAGCAAGAGGCTAGAGCTCAGGTGCTCCCTCCCCCGCACCTCCCTTCACCGTCTCAGTCTGCCCCCTGTCCAGAAACTGGTCCCATCTGGTTGAAATAATCTCCCCTCCTGCCTCCAGCTAGAGAGGTGTGGTACCCAGGTGGAAAGGGCCTGGGGTGCGGGGTGTATGGGTGGGTGGGTGGGTGGCTGTGTGTGTTGGGGGTTGGGGAGATGTGGTTCGGCCTTCTCCAAGTGGTCAAGTTCCCTCTGAGGGTGTGTCTGGGTGGCAGGAAGATTGGGCTAGAGGAATTGGGGGCACTAGATGGGGGAGACAGACGCCTATCTTGTTCTGGGGTTCCCAAGGCTGAGTTCAAGTTGAAGAAGACTGTATGTGCCCCAGACATACACTCAAAAAGAGAAAGAGTATCAGAAGGGAAAGGAGTCAAAGAGGGGAGGGAGAGCAGACAAATAACCTCTCTAAGCCTTAATTCTGACATCCATAAAATGGGGTAAAAATTGTGCCTCTCTCTGGAGCTTGCTTGGCTAGTGTTTGTCAAGCACCTTTGAATGGCTGTAGGGGTCTACCTCAAGATTATCGGACCTGGGAGTGGGGCTGGGATGAGGGTCCAGCCCCAGGCCGGATGTGGAGGGACCAGGTGCCTTTCTATGCTGATGGGTGCTGGAGACTTCCTTCTGGTCAGTTTAGCTCAGCAGACTCCTCTAATTCTCTCATGTACCCTGCCCTGTGTGTGTGTGTGTGGTGGGGGGTGATGCGGGGGGGAGCTGCTATGGTCTCAGTCTGGAGGGAGGCAGAGGGAGGAAGGAACCCAGAAGGGTGGAAGGATTGCCCACATGGGGGCTTTGGGGCTGGGTTTTGAAGGATGAGTGGGAGTTCACCAGAGACACCAGGTCAGGAAGAAGGTTCTGTCCTAGGACCAGCGGAGAAGCAAACGCCACCCCACCCCACAGCCCTCAGGTCTGTTCTGAAATAGCCACATCAGTTCACACCCACGGCTGGCTAAGCTGGGGAAGTGGGGCCTAGGGAAGGAATTTGCCCATTGAACATCAGTTTCAGTCCTGGGGGTGAGGGACGGAAGTGTCCAGAACAGTGAGACCAGATTGCAGGCTGGTCCACTCGGGCATGAGTTTCCCCAGCCCGAGGTCAGGGAGCAGGCTGAAGGTCGCTGCCTTGGTGTGTCGGTCAGCCGCTCCTGAGTCACAGACTGCTCTGGAAGTTTCATTTGTTCATGATTCTGTAGGTTGACGAGCGCAGGCTGGGCTTAGCTGGGCAGTTCTTCTGCTGATTTGTCCTGAGTCATTCATGCAGCAACAGTCAGCTGGGGCTCGACTGGAGCTAACTGGGCAGGGCCTCCCTGGGCTGTCTGTCAGCAGAGTGTCTGTGCATGAGGTCTCCTGTCCTCCAGCAGCTCACTTGGACTCGCCCACCTGGCAGTGTCAAGGGCTCCACGATGACAAGAGTGGGAGATGCGAGATCTCCTGAGGCCGAGGCTCAGACCTCTCACAGCTCCACTCGCACACATTCCATCAGTTAGCGTTCGCCGCGTGGCCAAGTCCAGGTGCAGAAGCTGGGGAAACAGACCCCAGTTCGTGATGGAGGAACTGCAGAGTCACACCACAAACAGGGACTGTGGGACTTGGGCCACTGGAGGAAGCAAGGAGACTTCCTGGCTGAAGGGAGATTTGTTACTGGGTTTTGAAGGCAAAGTAGGTGTTCTCCAGGCCGCAAGCGCAGAGCCCTGTAGGTGGGACTCTGTCATTTGGTGTGACTGAGGTGCTAGTTGCTGCCAGAGGTTGGTGGGACGCCGAGGCGGGGGAGGTGGGCAGGAGTGCCAGGCAGAGCTCAGGCAAAGCTTCCACCCACACTATCCCCGCTGCCGACCTTGACCTCCCTCCCCCCCTCTCTCCACAGATGGCGCGGCCAATCCAGGTGAAGCCTGCGGACAGTGAAAGCCGTGGAGGTAGTTGTCATCTCTCCGTGGCCCCCAGGCTGCGGGCTGGCAGAGGGATGGGAGGATGGAAATCCTTGCGTGAACGGTGGTGGGAGAGGCAGAGGCCCCTGGCCGGGGTAAGGGCAGGAGAGGAGGGAAGCTGTGTCCCCTCTTCCTAACCACAGTGCCACAGGCCCAGGAGTAGGGGATGTGGCCAGGCCCAGCTGCTTTCCCCTAGAACTTGAAATAGCCCGCTTGTCTGAGGGTGCAGTAATGGGGATCTTCAGGTGCAGAGGGGCCGGGGTCCCGGAAGGGCTGTGGGCTGCTTTCTGGGCCGTGCGTATGTGTGTGCGCATGTTTGCACGTCTGGGCAAGCACACGTGTGTGTGTGTGTGAGCAGGCAGACCTGGGCACAGCTCTGTGCAGATGTGTGTGTTCACATGCGTATGTGTTTCTGGCTGGTGCAGTGGGAGTGCCTGCCCTCCTGTGTGCACATCTGCGTGCCTCGGCTGTGTATGGGCGTGTATGTTCAAGCGTGTGTGCTTGAGTGTTCCAGGCTGGGTGGGTGGGTGTGCAGGCTGGGCCCTGTGTCTGCCTGAGGCTGGACTTCGCGCTGGGTGTGTTCCTGGGGGGGAGATGCTTAGCTGTCTCCTGTGGGATCCAAGGTTAGTCATTCTTGGGTACTTTTGAACCCCCTCCCCACCTCAGGTGGACTGGGGGCTGAGGGGTTGCAGCTAGCTGTGGAGGTGGTATGGGAGGGCAGGGCTGTTAGGACCTCTGTGTATGTGTAGGAGCCTGGTAAAGCCTGTTTGGGCTGGGAACCTGTTTTCACACTTTCCAACCTGGCTGCCAGTGTAGGTCAAGGATTAGAGAGGTGCGGGGTGTGTGTCCTCTCTGCCTTTCTCTCTCTCTCTCTCTCCCCCTCCATATCTCTGTTTCTCAGTCCTAATCTTTTTCTCTCCTACTGTCTCTCTGGTTCTCTCTCTGCCTTTCCATGTGTCTCTCTTTATCTCTTACTCTCTCTCTCTTTGCCTCTCTCTCTCCCTCTGTCTCTCTCCGTCCCCCTGCCTTTTGGTCTCTCTGCTTCTGTCTCTTCCTTCCTCCCACCCTCATGAGTGACAGCTGCCAGAGAACAGGTATCCATAGCAACCCAGCTCACCATTTCTGGAAGATGGAGCTGCCACATTCCTGATTCCAGGGGAGCAGTGCAATTACCCAAAGGGGCAGGGCTCTGGTGCCTCACATGGGAGGGGCTGGCCCAGACTGGTCCCTGCCCTTGGTCCCAAGCCAGCCCCAGGCTCTCCAGACACTTGGTCCTGTGCGTACACACGCCTTCACTCATTCAACGGACACTAATTGCTTGACCCCCCCCTTAGCCCCAGCAAGGCTGGGCAGGGAGCTCTGCTGATCACTGTGAGGGTGCAGGGGCCATCAGCGCTCACCCCTGCCAACAAAATCTAGATGGCAGACAGACAGACAGGGACTCAGGCCGGGCCAGGCAGTTCCTAGACCCGGTATTATGTGTGGGCTCTCTGAGTGCACAGGAGGGAGAGGCCATTTCGCCCAGAGGGTGGGAGCAGTTGGGCAGAGAGGGCATTCCAGGCAGGGTCACTGCTTTAGCACAGGCACAGAAATGGGACCGCGCGGGCACGTGGGAGAGTGGAGAGGTCGGGGCAGGGAAAGCACATGGCTGTGTCCTCCCTCACACGCGCCCGGCTCCCTGCCCTGCTGCCTCCACTCTGCTGGACGGACAGAGAAATTCCTGGAGGCTAGGACTCGGCTGAGGTGGTGTCTCCACCCACAGGGGACCGGAAGCTGTTTGTGGGGATGCTGAACAAGCAGCAGTCGGAGGAGGACGTGCTGCGGCTGTTCCAGCCCTTCGGGGTCATCGACGAGTGCACCGTGCTCCGGGGTCCTGATGGGAGCAGCAAAGGTGATGGGCGGGGGGCGGGGCTGGCTTCCGGGGGCGGGGCAGTGGGAGGGTGGGGCTGGAGGGATGGGGTCGAAGGGCACGGGTGAGGGCGGGGCTGGCACACATAGGCAGGGGCCTGGAGAGCAGGCCGCAGGGTGGGCAGGGCCAGGCACACAAGAGAGTGATGCTGGCCCAGGGGACAGAAGCGGGCAGGTGGGAGGGTGAGGTTGGTTTGGGGGGAGGGTCGGGCACGTGGAAGGGCGGGGCCGGCTCCGGGGGGCGGGGCGAGCAGAGCCAGTCCAGTACCACCCGGTCCTGCCCGAGTGCCCATGTGCGTCTGCGGCTGCCGGTCTCCACCTGACTGTCCGTGGGACTGTTTCCTTCCGGATTTGCCTGTGTCCTGCGGACTGTCCGTCTGCCTGATCCTACTTACTCCAGCTCCCCATAGGGCAGTACCATCCAGGAATAATTGTTTAAGGATCTCCAGCACCTGGTTTCCTGTCTGCTCACGTGACTGCATGTGCCTAGGGTTGACTGACCTCCTGTGTCTCTCAGTCCGACACGCTTTCTGCCCGCGTGTCCAAATGGCTCTTTCTGTCCGAGTCTTCCTGGGTCTGGTGGTCTATCTGATTCTACCCGTTTGGGCCCATCTGTCTGGGACTGACAGTCGGCTTGCCTGTCTCTGCCCTTGTGACTTTATCTTGCTAGGAAGGAATGTACTTGGTGGTCCCTGACTGTTTGCCTGGCTCTTCTTTTTAAATTGAGATATGATCCACGTTCAGTAAAACCCACCATTTAAAAGTGTACAGCGAAGTGCTTTTCAGTATATTCGCAAAATTCCAGAACATTTCCACCCCTCTCCCCCAAATCTGCCTGGCTCCTCCGTAAGATCTGTCTGTCTGGTACTGTGTCCAGTGGTCTCTCCCAGTGACTGTCTCAGTTTGCTTGGTGGTATCTTGTCTGTCCACTGATTCTGTGCTTGCCTCGTGACTCTATTCCTATCTGTCCAGCTCTGGGCACGTGAGTGTATCTCTCTGGGTCTGGGTGTATCTCTGCCTGAGTGTGCCTGTGGAACTGAATCTCTCTGTGTTGGGTGCTTCGTAGCTTTAATTCCACAGACCTGATTACAACTCTGGCCCTCGCAGTGTTGGTGGCTCCCTAAGCCGGCCGCCCTCACTTGTTCCACCGGGCAGGGCCTGCCTCCCCAGCTGTGCACCACCGCACACTGTCCCTCTGATGGTGCATCTGACAAACAGCTAGCTTGTTGGCCAGCTGTATGCTTGTCTTACCATCTGGTCCTTGATCATCCAGCTGTCTGTCTGATCAGACGGCTGGCTGTCTCTCTGTTGTCCGACTGTCTGAATTGTGGGCTGCCCGTGTCCAGGCTGACTGGCCACACCAGGCTGCCAGCGCCTCTCCTGCAGCCCCTCACTGGTTCTCGTTCTCCCGGAGCAGGCTGTGCCTTTGTGAAGTTCTCCTCCCACACGGAGGCTCAGGCGGCCATCCACGCCCTGCATGGCAGCCAGACCATGCCGGTGAGTCGGAGCTGCACTGGGAGGTGGGGGTGGGCAAGGAGCGAGGGGGCCTGGCCTTACCATCCCAGCCATCGAGTTGCCCCTGCCTTTTCTTCAGAGAGGGCACAGGAGGAGAAAGATGTGCAGTCTCTGATGGTGGTGTGTGGCTGTGCATGTGTGTGTGTGTGTGAGAGTGCAAGTAAGTGGGGGCTGTGCATAGATGTACTGCCGACATGTGGCTGCATGTGTGTGAGTACAATATGGTGTATGTTTCGGTGTGTGCACGTGAGTGTGCCTGAGATCGTGCATGCATGTCTGTGTGTGAATGTGCAGTTGTTAATAGGTGGGTGTCAGTGTGCACATGAGGTGTATGTAAATGGTGTGGCTATGTGTGCACGTGTGTACTGCTGCGTATGCACATGTGTACACATATGACTGCATGTGCACACACAGACATTCATGCACGCTGAGTGGATGTGTTCACGTGTGCAACGGTGTGCAAGCTTTATGTGGGTGAGTGCATGTGTGTATTTATAAGTGAGTTTGAGTGTGTCAGTGTGCCTGGGTGGTGTGGGTAGGACAGGTGTGCATGTGGGCATCTGCAGGGGTGTGTGACTGTGTGTGTGGATGGGCGAGCATGCGTGTGAGTGTAAGTGCATGCATTTAGATGTGCATATGTGTGATTTCGTGCAGATGAATGTGTACGTGTGTGGATGCATTGTGTAAGCATATGATGCATGTGTTAGTGTATGGACATATTCATGGTTGTGCACGTTTCTGAGTATAGATGGTGAGTGTAAGTCTGTGGGAGTTGAACCCATGTGTATGTGTGTGCAAACGTGTGTGAGCCCCAGAGGAGCAGGGGAAGACGAGGCTGGAAGAACCTGCAGTTCAAGGCCAAAAAGCATACGATTCCTCCTAGGGCACTGGGGAGCCCCAGCGGGTTTCAGCAGGAGAGGGAAGGGGCCAGGTGATGTGGAAATGTCCCCTTGGGGCCAGAGTGCAGGATGGGCAGGGGCAAGAATGGAGCGAGGTGCCTGTGAGTCTGCAGCAGTGAGAGGCTGGGCGATAAGGGGGACCACACAGATGTTGGGGTGGCCCTGCCTCCCAGGAAGGAGGCCCTAGGAGTACCATCAGTGTATATAGATGCCCAAATCTGCCCTGGGGAAGACATATGTTGGAAAACCAACCCTCCTTTCTGTTGTTCTGGAAAATGGGTTTAAAGCACAGGGCAGTCTCCGACCATCTCTGGGTTCTTGGGCATCAGTTTAAGTCCCTGGAGGGGCTAGAGGCAGCTCAACCTGGAGCCAAGATTTCTCCTGCTCAGAGCTGTCCAGTGATGGAGCTGGTGGGCATGGCAGGGAGTGAGCTCTCCATCAAAGGAGGTATTCAAGCTCTCTGATGGTTGGAGTGCCACCTGTTCTTAGGTGTGGGTGGCAGCTATAGGATCCGCTATCCAGGTCCTGAGTGTTTCTCTCCAGCAGTTGGATTCTTCAGCTGTTTTTGAGAGCACGGCTGACAGTCAGGGCTCCCCAGACACAGCCCCCTACCCCAGGCTTGGACACCCAACCTGTGCACACAGTGGGCTGCAGGGTCAAGTGTGAGATCTGGGGTGCTGATCTCCAGGCTGTCCACACTGCGGCATCTGGGGGCCTGGGGGCAGGGCTGACAGCTGCTGCGATCTACACCCCTACACCCCTCATCCAAGGGACCCCAGAGTCCTGGCTACCTACCCCCTCTCTCCCTCCCTGCTTGCGGCTGCCCCTGCAGGGTGCCTCCTCCAGCCTGGTGGTCAAGTTTGCCGATACGGACAAGGAGCGGACGCTGCGGCGCATGCAGCAGATGGTGGGCCAGCTGGGCATCCTGACGCCGTCCCTCACCCTGCCCTTCAGCCCCTACAGTGCCTACGCCCAGGCTGTGAGTGACCCCCGCAGACACACCGCTGTCCCCAGTGGGGCTCCTGAGACCACTTTGCCGGTCCAGTCTCTCTCTCTTGCTCCATCTCTTGTCTGTCGAGGGCTTCTGCCTCTTTGCCCATCTTTCTGTCTCTGGCTGCATCTCTCTGGTGCAGGGTGCTATTCTGGCTGTGGCTAAGTCCCCAAATCCAAGCTGCTTCCAGACCCCAGCCCCAGCTGAGCCCCCAGCCATGAGCTATGCTCCAAGCCCCAGCTGAACCCCAACTCTGGAGTGCCAGGTCCCCAGACTCAGCCCTCAAATCCAGGCTGAGTCTTAACCCCAAGTTGAGACCAAACCCAGACTGAGCCCCTAAGTCCAGCCAGAGCCCCAACTCTGGATGAGCCTCAAATTAATACCCAGCCTGGGGTTGATGCCCAGATCCTGGCTGCTCCCCAAATCCAAATTAGCCCCAATTCCAACTGAACCTCCAAACCCAGGCTGACTCCAAACTGAGACCCAACCCTTGGTGAGTTCAACAGTGACTGATATCGGGTCCCAGACTGTGCCCTGATCCCTGGCTGAGCTCTGTTTCCTAAATGGGCCTTGAACAGAGACCAGGCCCTGACCCTAGACTGAGCCTTGATCCCAGGCTGAGCACCAATTCCTGAGCCCTGACTCCGACCTGAGCCATGACATACAGCTGACCCCACTAGTTACTGGTGGACCAGCCCCCACCCCCCACCCCCTGCCATGAGCTGTGATCTCAGGCCGGATGCCACCCTGACGGTGCCTGTTAACTCCCTCTCCACCCCCAGCTCATGCAGCAGCAGACGACGGTCCTGTCCACCTCAGGCAGCTACCTGAGCCCCGGCGTGGCCTTCTCACCCTGCCACATCCAGCAGATTGGCGCCGTCAGCCTTAATGGGCTGCCTGCCACACCCATCGCCCCTGCCTCTGGTGAGAGTCTGCCAGGGGCCCGCGGATGGGTGGGCAGTGCCGGGGCTAGGACCAGGCTCCCCGTGATGCTCTTCCGCTCCCCAGGACTGCACTCCCCCCCGCTGCTCGGCACCGCCGCCGTGCCCAGCCTCGTGGCTCCCATCACCAATGGCTTCGCCGGCGTCGTGCCCTTCCCTGGCGGGCACCCTGCCCTAGAAACCGTATACGCCAATGGCCTTGTGCCCTACCCAGGTAACTCGGGTGGTCCCCTGGGACCCGGGAGGGTGTCTCTGGGACAAGCATGAGTCCCTATGTCTTGATGCCCAGGGAACGGAGGGACAGAACAAAGGAAATCTCAGGTGAACAGACACCAGCTGTGGGCACAGAGAAAGGTTAAACAAGAACTTTGCATCCAGGTGTTTCTGGGTTCAAATTCTAGTTAGGTGGCCCTCAGCAGTTTCTTCTTTCTTCCTTTCCTTCCTTCCTTCCTCCATTCCTTCCTTTCTTTTAATGGAGGTACTGGGAATTGAACCCAGGACCTCATGCATGCCATGCATGCACTCTACCACTGAGCTATACCCTCCCCACCTCTGTGAGAATTTATTTTTAGTTTGAAATGATTGGCACTCACAGGGGGTTTCAAAAATAGTACAGAGAGGTCCCAGTACCTAGCACTCGGTATCCCCAGATGCTAACATCGCACATAACCGCAGTATGTTGTTAAAACTAGGAAACTGACACGATGTTGAACTCAACTGGAGTTGGAGAGCCTACTCAGACTTCACTTTTCACATGAACTGGTGTGTGTGTGTGTGTGTGTGTGGTTCTATGCCATTTTATCACAGGTATAGTTTCAGGTCACAACCACAACAGTCAACATACAGAATTTTCCATCTCCACAAAGTAATTCACTCATGAGACCCCTTTACAGACTTACCCTCCCACATCACCACCCCATCCTCCAGCAGCCTCTCTACATTCGAGCATGATTTTTTTGCTCAATTTCCTCCAGACTCTCCAGCTCTGGTGGCCTAGACATCCTCTCCCCTTCCCCTGTGTCCTCCCCTAGGGATCATCAGGCAGTCACAGCCACATGGGGGGTCCATAGGGTGTCTAATGATCCAGATGTGGGGAGGGAAAAGGGGGAAGGGATGCGGGTGGGTGGTGATGGGGAACAGAGACCTGGAGAATCCAGAGAATAAAGTGGAGGAGCAAGGGGGTCAGGATAAGGACAGAGTTGGGGTGATGGTTAAACCTCTCTCGAGTCCATGAAACCTGGATTCTAGTTTCGCTTCTGCTATTTCCTACCTGAGTAGCCATGTGCCAGCTGCTTCCCATCCCTGAGCTTCGGGTCCCCCACTTGTAAAATGGAGGTTATACTTGTAAAACGTTGATGTAGAAGTGAAACTGGGGTGGATGGAAGACTTCTGCTGCCCCCGCCCTACTCAGCCCTTCCGTCTGCCCTGCAGCTCAGAGCCCGACGGTGGCTGAGACCCTCCACCCTGCCTTCTCTGGAGTCCAGCAGTACACAGGTAGGGAGGCAGCGCGGCCCCGCCCCTCGCCCACCCAGATCTGGCCCCGCCCCTCTCATTCATTCCTTCTTCTGCCTAGTCATTACTTTGGACCCAATCCCAGTTCTTGGCCCGGCCCCCGCCCCGCCCTCCTTCAACATCTAGCCCTTCCCCCCCATAACCTGCCTTTGGTCCCGCCCTCACGTACCGCCTAGACTCTGTCCCTGCGGGGGGCCTCCCCCCGCATCTCCTCTTCCTAACGACAGCCTTGGCCCCGCCCTCAGCCATGGTCCCGCCTTGGCCCCACCCTCGGACCCGCCCTCCAACGTGATCACGCCCCTTCCCAAGACCTGGCCTTGGCCCCACCCCTCTAGTCATGGCCCCGCCCACCCTACTCGTCCCTGTTGCC